CTATTGTTCGTGTCTTTAGAGATAAAAATAATAGAGTTTATATAGTAGTTTGAGAGTAGAGTAATTAAGGTAAAAGAATCAACTTTAGTCTATTAAGGAAGTCACAGAATCCAATCACATAAGGGTTCAGAATAAACCTCCCTTAATTGAAGGCAATTAGTCAAACGATAATAATAGGGAGTCTAATTAAGGAAAGAAGTTCAAATCAAACCAAATAAAGGAGTTCAGAATAAGATAATCAGGGTTTAATTAAGGGAAGAATCATGCAAAGGAATCAGCAAATATACAGGTCATCAAATGAGGCAAGAATGACTAATTAAGGTCGTAAACAAGGAAACATGCAAGACTTAGGCATACAAATCTCTAATAGAGCAAATCAATCAGCTAAATTTCAAAGTAACAATGATTTCTAGAAAGAATATATCAACTCTCATAAATAGAAAATGAACTAAGTAAAGACTTCACAAAAATATAGAAATCAGCCGGAAAGCCAGATTCGAACCCTAATAAAGCTCAATTAGGGTAAAACTACAGAATACTGGATTTGACAAAGGAAAATCGTGTAAGTCAAAAATACAGGATGAGTTAATGCGATTAGTAACATTGAAAGACTCAAAATCAAAGCAAAGACTGGAAAAATTAGCATATAGAATCAACTAGGGTTTGAACGCTCATGCAAAAATCAGTCGAAGTGAAGAAGAAACATCTTATTAAACATTAATAACTTAGAAAAATCTTTAATAACATTATGAAATAAACACTAGTTTAAGAAGAATGATTAAAAGGCGAGATAATCAATTAAAGTAAGGGGTTTTTGGAGGAAAACACTTGATAATACCCAAATCATCTCAAATCTATGAAGATCTGAGAAGAGTTGACAACAATGAACTAGGGTTTTCAGAAAAAATAGCAAAGATGAGAGAATAAGTCAAAAATCCATAGATTCGTAACAAAATAAAAAGAAGTTCTTACTCACAGTCGAACCCTAGCCTAAGACAGGCTAACGAGCAAAGTTTCAAACCAGAACCAACTAGGTTCTTCGAGATCTTCTAGCCATGGCGTGTAAAAGTCCAAGACTAGTCGGAGAAGCCATCAAAGCTTCATAAAGAGAAGAGGACTTAATGGTGAGGATTATATATATATATATATATATATATATATGTGTGTGTGTGTGTGTGTGTATGTTATGGATCGGGCTGCACGCCGCAGCGATATTATATATATGGATCGGGCTGCACGCCACAACGATATACAAATGGATCGAGCTACACGCCACCGCAGCGATATATATTGGATCGGGCTGCGCGCCGCAGCGATATGACGCTGACGCTTGGGCTGTAGGAGCCCCTTTAGAGTCTGCACACCCCTAGTGAGCGTAGTCGACTATAAACTATGGATTGGGTTGCACACCGCAGCGGTTACTACTATTATTATATGAGGTATCTATTGAGCCGGAGTGTTGAGTGTGAGTACTGATTGACTAGAGCTGAGTCACGAGTGACTGAGAGACTTGCTTGAGAGGTTATACTCATGAATGATACCTTACCCGAGGGGCCGTTTATGACATTTTGCTGTTTTCACTCTTCTTTTATACTGAGTCTCTGTTGAAAAATGTTGAATAAATGTTTTCAAAATATCTTAATTGAAACTAAAGTTTTACGAGATAAATGGCTATTGAAGCGTAGATTTGACTTGATATTTCTGCTGAGATTCCTTATATAATTTTAAATGCACGTCACCGCACTCAAACTTTATTTACTTTAGTTACTTACTGAGTTGGCGTACTCATGTTACTCCCTGCACCCTGTGTGCAGATCCAGGTGCCCGAGCATCAGAGTGAGAGCTTCCAACACTCTCAGAGTTTATCTGGAGATCACAAAGTAGTTGGACGGCGTTCGCAGCCCTGCCTTCCTCCTTCCTATCTTAGTATTTTGTTATTTCAGACCATTTTGCATTATTCCGACCGTGTTTTGGTTGTACTTAGAGGCTCATAACTAGTGACACCGGATTCGGGCTGTTTTAGTGTATTTCATACTGTTTTCCGCATATTTCTATTGATTTATATACTACTTATGAAAGCTTAGAGATTTAATCAGTTTTAAAAAATGATTTTTATAAAAGGAATTCGATGTGGCAAGTGTTGGATTGGCTTGCCTAGTACTGCGATAGGCGCCATCATAACTGGGGCATTTGGGGTCGTGACATACTCCCTAACCAAACCTTCAAAGTTCAAACAACGTAAATAAAGAATCAGGAGCTGCAAGATAAGTACAAAATAGAGTAACTTGTACTTCACCTTTTATCTCCATATTAAATACAGCCACAGAACCAAAAGAAAAAAATCCAACATTTCTAATCCACACAAAAATGAGAACATATCAATATCCTAATTACCAACACTCGAGAAAAAGCCATAAAAATCATTGAAAAAAAGCAACTAGAATAAATAAGGACCCAAAAGAAAGAGAAAAATAAAAGCCCTTAGCCATGGCAGCAACTTCAACACACATGGGTTCAACTCATTTCAGCATGTTAGGTTATTGGACAACAATGGGAAACAAGCAACTCCAAAAGGAGAAACATTTTCTCAATTTCAGCACAGCAAGCAGAAGTTGAAGAACTAAAAGTAGAAAAAAATGAAGAACAGAAAGAAGAAGAACAAGCAATGAAACAGCCAAGGCCAGTGGAACCACAGATAAATGTGAAGAGCAAGAATATGAGCAGAGAATATGGAGGACGGGACTAATAAATTAAATATAATGATATTGGTTTGACTCTCAAGTGGATGAAAAATACTCACCTTGAAGAACTGGAGGAAAACCTAAGGACTGGCCAAATTCCTATTCAAACATATGCTCCTCTATTGCAAGTTGAACATTTTCATAATTAACATCAAAAAATTGTTCAAATTCTTGTTATTGGAATAGTTCATTCTCGTATATTTCTCCTTCAACCACCTCTCCCATATCAAACAAATCTCTTGGCTTTAAATGTACCTAAGAACTGGTGCATTATACGACCGCAGAACAGGTATGCGAACCGCATTTCTGCCGCATACCCAGACAGTTTGTCCAGATTTTGGGACCATTTTTTTGCGGTCCACTTTGCGGGCCGCATGTCCATTATACGATCGCATATGAGATCGCAAATCGTGTCGGGGCTCCTATTTTCTAACTTTTATAACCCGACCCCATCCTATTAAAAACACCGCATTAGATCATTTTCCTGTTATTTCACGGCATATAGAGTGAGAGAGGAAGCTCTAAAGAGATATGGAGTGATCTTCATCAAGTCCCCACTCCATCCTTGCCCCAAATCCTTGAAGATTGTCAAGTGAAATTGCTAGGTCTTCACCCTAAGAGGTAAGAGCTTGTGCCATCATCTATAATTTCGAAATTGCCATTAAAATAAGTGATTAGCAAGGGGGTTCATGGGTATAAGGGCTGACAATCTTGCATGCATAAAAGATAATGGGGTATGGGGTGGTTGTGAGCCAAAAGAGATAACAATTATGGTATATGATGATGAAAATCTCTCACAAAAGTGTCTTAAAATCGTTGTGCACACTTAGTGCTTGATAATTTACTTAAATGAGTTAGAATCTCATTCATGCCTCTAATTCATGGTTCAACTTGTAATTTTCATAAAATAGATCGAAATTGCTAGAAAATCCGGAATTTATTATAAGGATTTAAGGAAAGTTTTATTGAGGTATGTATGGCTAAAACCCCGTCTTTTAGAAATTGAGCTCCCTTGGTGTTTGTGTAAATGCGGTAAGATTAAAGTTGGATTGTTATATTGATTGTTGTTTCACATGAATTGGAGTTGCAACCTTATAGGCGTGAAAGATGTGTCTCAATGTGGTCGAAGTGCTATCCTTGATAACTTGAAGAGGGTGCAATGAATATGAATCATGTATTGAAATACCTAGACCTTAGATTAAGATTGAAGCTGCATATGTTGTGCCATTTATGTGAAGTCTCATCTATGTTTACAATTTTATTTGCTCTTGTGTGCACATATTATCCTAAATTACAAATCTAACATTGAAATTGGGAATGATGTGAGATGTGACCTAGTGCCAAATATATGACGTGATAGTTGTAGCCCCAAGTGCCTATGGAATGATATATGTGAAACAAAGATTGAAATGGGATGATTGATGGAAAAAGGAAAACGCCTTGGTAAGGCGGCCTAGCCGATCGGGCCGAGATCGGACGCCATGTCGCATACATAGTGGTATTGTATTTGTGATTGAAGTGTATGTCTCAACTGAGGCAACCTAGCCGATCGGGTCGAGATCGGACTCCGCTCAAGATAACGGTGGTATTGTGGACAATAATGAACAGTATGAAATGCCCCGAAACTAAAAGCTATGGGAAAATAATGTGAAAATTGTGTGATTCTTTTATTTGATAATGTTGTGATCATTTAAAGTGTTTGAGCTATACTTGTGATTTCCTTAATCTTGTATGAAAGTTCTTTCTAACTAGATGGTGTTTAGTTATACATACTAGTACTATTCCATGGTACTAACGTCCCTTTTGCCGGAGACGTTACATTTTTAATGAATGTAGGTGGCTTCATAGCGGATAGTGCCGATCGCGCGTAGCGGAGTATCCTCTTCTCAAAATCTTGGTGAGCCATTTCTCCTTCAAGGGGTTATGCTGTACATCTTTTGTTATAAATATCCACTTTTGAGGTATAGCCGGGGCCTTGTCGCCAGCATTGTCATACTTGTCTTTTGTATCCTTAGAGGCTCCGTAGACGTTTGTGTGGGTTATGTACGGGTGTTGGGTGGTCTATGAATTATGTTGTAATTCTAACTCTTGTTTCTCTAAAGTGAAATGGTATGGAATCTTGGGAAGTTAACTACGGTTTAAGGTTGTGTTGTAAAATGAACTAACAATGTTGAATGTGCAATCCTTCTTATTGTTTAAATAAACGAAAGCATGGTTTCCTTAATCATATTGAGTTGGGTAGAAAGTGTTCGATAAGGCTTGCTCAGTTGGGTTCACTCGATTGAGCGCCGGTCGCGCCTCCCGAGGTTGGGGCGTGACAATCAGTTTCATCATTAACACAGTACACCATATTTGCTTGAGATACTTTAATATAAGGATCATGCTCCTCACGATCACCAGTGTGAATCAATCTAGAAAAATTAACACGATTAAAATTTCAAGCATCTCTTTTGAACCCTCTATCTCGATTAATGTCAGCCCACTGGCACTTGAAGAGCACAACCTTAAACTAACCATAATAATTAAGCTCAATAATATCTTCCAACTTCCCATAATATGGCAAGTCTGCTTGCCTCGCATTTCTGTCAGCGTTGGATGCAATACAAGAGGTGCCAGAGATAAGAAAAACTCCATTATTTTGAGTTTGTGATCCTTGTTCTCTAGAAAATGTCTGAAATTTGAATCCATTAATGTTATAAGCAGTGAACCTTCTCACATCTGGACATCGACCTTGTGCTAGAAACTCCAAATCAGTAAAGATTGTGTTTGTTATATTCGGATTCATAATCCAAATAGACAAAATTCTTTTTGTCAAATATTCAAAATTAAAACAAGAAAGTTAATTAATCATAGACAAGCATTTTCACTCACTCGCTTTGGAAACCAATCAGGAAACTCTTTATTAACTCTCCTTTCTACTTCGGTTGCTGAAGGTCTCTAGCCTCTTGAACTCCTTCTTATGCAATCCCTAAATTCACTACAAAGGAGTTAATTGTATTAATTTTATTCACTTCACTCAAAGTTTTTGTAAAAAATTAAATTAATTTATTTTTCTTACCTAATAAATGGCTTTATTGTTGCACAATTAAGTAACACATATCGATGAGCTTGAGTCTTCTCAAGTTGAGTCAAGGTGAATGCTTCAGAACCTTTGACGGGTTTACCTTGTGTAGGGAATGTAGATGACATTTCAGAAGCCTCGTTAAGATTTGGTCCATCATTTACACATTTAGGCCTATTTACCCTCGACTCAATATCCTCAAAATAACGAGAAAAAAAAGTTGGGGCTTCTTCAACAATGTAACCCTCAGCTATGGAACCTTCTGGTTGTGCTTCCCTATAAAGGACTTGAAATGACCTAGCAATCTATAACCAAAATAAAAAGGTACTAGAATAAGTATTTACTTTGAATTATTATTATAAAATCGATGGAAATTATGTTGAATAAGTAATGTTTTACCTTTCAACAAAATACACCCACCGATAATGTACCGTCCACCTTGTATTAATTCATCCACTAGATGGACAGTTAAATGAATCATTACAGTAAAAAAGGATGTAGGGAACAACATCTCTAAATGGCAAAGTGTGAGTACAATCGGGTCTTGTAGATTTTCTAGGTCCGAGAAGCTCAAGCTTTTCGAACAAAGTTGTCTAAAAAGGGATGAAAGCTCTACCAAGGCTGCAACAACATGATTTGGAAGCACATTTCGAATTGCTATGGGTAACAATTGTTCCATAATGATATAACAATCATGGCTTTTGAGTCCAAATATCCTCTTTTTATCTAGATCAACACAACGAGAGATATTACTTGAGTAACCATCCGGCACCGAGATATTTTTTAAAGTTTTGAGAAAGTCTGACTCTTTTATTTTTTTGGAATTGCAAATAAATCAAACCGACAATTCTCATTCTCATCTGGCCAAAGATCACGCCTTATACCCATATCTTGTAGATCTTTTCATGTAGCAAAGTGCATATAATATTATCAAATACATTCTTCTCAATATGCATAACGTCTAAATTATGGCGCAACAAGTTGAATTCCCAATATGGAAGATAGAAGAATATGCTTTTTTTTCTCCATTGTTGAGTTGCACTTTCCTCAGTACCTTTTTGTCGATTTCTTTTCTTTCTTTCATTTAATTCTGCTAGTTTTCCAAATGTAACATCAAATTCCTCCACTGATTCAAAATATCTGACCCAGTTAACTTCCTTGGAGGTTTTCTCTCTTCCGTATTGCCAAACAAATGAAGCATCATCAATATAAATTTATGATTTCTTGCCAAAAACCGGCAATGACCAATAAAGCACCATTTTATACTATAACGAAGTCGGCAAGGTTCTGTGTTAAAATTACAAGATGGACAAGCAAAATCGCTATATGTGTTCCAACCGGATAAAATTTCAAGTCCAGGAAAGTCGCTAACTGTCTACATAAGAGCTACTCGCATTCTAAACATTTCATTCTTTGATGAATCAAAAGTTTCCACACCTTCACACCACAACTCATTCAACTCCTTAATAAGCGATTGTAGGGATATATCTATATTATTCCCCGTTATATGTGGACCTGGAATGATCATTGAGAGGATAAAATTTGGTTGCTTCATACACAACCAAGGTGGAAAGTTATATGGAACCAAAATCACTGGCCAAATGCTATAATTAGTACTCATCATCCCAAAAGGATTGAAACCATCACTAGCTAGGGCTAATCGAACATTTCTAGGATCAGAAGCAAATTCAGTAAAAGCAATCAAATCTCTTCCATGTCTCACCATCTCATCTCACCATCTCTGGGATGCCTCATGATTCCATCTTTGTTACTATCTTTCACATGCCATCTCATATGCTCTGCAATTTTAGAGCATATGAACAATCTCTACAACCTTGATTTTAGTGGAAAGTAACGCAAAAATTTTGCGGGCATCTTTTGCTTCTTTTTCTTCTTTCCCGTGGTAGACATGTGATTATTGTTGCTCTTCTTAGTTGGCTTCCATCTAGAAGTATGACAATGCTTGCATGTTTCCTCATTAGCATCATCTCCCCAGTACAACATGCAATCGTTTGGACAAGCATCTATCTTGATATAATCAAGATAAAGCCTTTTGATGGTATTCTTGACCTCATAAAAAGAATTAGGTATCCTTGCAAATCCAAGTGCATCCTTCAGTAAATCTAGCATCATAGTCATTCCCTTGTCACTTAGCCCAGACAAACACTTTATGTGATACAACTTTAACAAAAATTCTAGCTTCGAGTACTTGGACCCTTCGTATAATTCTTCACTTCCATCTCTAAGCAACTCGAAAAATTCTTTGTTATTTCAAGAATGCAGATTATTTAATATTTCTTCTTCTCCAACTACTTGTGATGGACCTGCATCAATGCCCTCATGCCTTAAACCCAGGAATGCTTCATTTATCAACAATTCCGTAGGATTTTCAGGAGGCAGTGCATATGGGATAACTTCTGTGCTTCTAGAATTCTCGAACACTTCTGTTTCCCATGAAGAATCCATGTGACATAATTTTGAGGGAATGGCTTGCTAATCAAATGATCTTACACTATCTCTCTAGTCTGCCACTTTCCAAAACCACATTTAGGACACGAACATTTTATTCTATCTCCTATAGAAGCATTATTAAATGCAAAATTTAAAAATTAATTCAAACCAAGTAAATACTTTATTGTATTTCTAGGCATTCCAATCCAAGATTTATCCATTGGAAGGTATTGATATAACCTTTCAGAAGTGATCAACCGATAAGGATTTCTCTGAGCAAGAGTGTTTACTATAACCTACAATATTTCGATGAGAAAGGATGATTTAGTAACCTATCAACGCAATAACATTATGAAATTTTGTAAGATAATAAAAAATGGCACAAGAAAATATTTGTTAAAGAATAAGAATCATAAAGTTACCGTGATATATATAACTTTGAAGTTCAGAATGTCTAAAGAAAGTATCTTTTTTTACACAAAGAGTATATCTTCTTTTGCAATAATACCTTTCATGCATGAAGGAGCACCGCTGTATGCAATATTACTAGGAGATCAATGTTACAACGGATTTATGGTATATACATGTGAATAAAAATTTACAACACCAATACCATTTGACTAAATATATCATGTTTCTTCTCTAATAATTAAGGTAACCACATATATGTCACTATCAGGCTTGAAATAAAGAGTTACTAGTATTTATTACTATTAAAATCCAATTTTATAATTAAGTCAATTTTGTGTAAAATAAAATACTGCGTATATACAATTAATGTTAGTGTACAAAACTCAAATGTAACTGAAGGATGCAGAATTGGTGTAGTTAATTATGAAGAGCATGTTTCTGGTGGATAAAGCAATAACTGAAACAAGTTTGAAGAACATGTAAATGCTTCATGAACCCCAAGATCTGACAAAACATCATGTTGCAACACATCCTGAGGTCAACATGTTGCTCCGCATAAAGTAATAGCTTGAGTTCAAAAATTATGGTGGATACTACATGCAGCAGCATACTAGCATTATACCTCAAGTGAGTTTGTACAAACTTAGAGACTATTTAGTAATATTCTACCTAATTGCCATGATTTGAGTATCAGTTAAAGGTCCATGGACTCATTGCAACCAATTGAAGTTCAAAAAGAAATTCATTTCAAAGAACATTTGATTGAGACAGTATTTTTCCAAGATTTAGTACCCTCCACTTTTCCATTAAACTATCTTCCTACTAAATTACAAACTCATCCATAATTACAATAGCATTCGTTAGGTATATTGTTCTTCTATGTCCTCCTTCTATCTTTGCAAGCCAACACAGAGTTTTATTCTTATAGAACAAAACCAGCCAACTAATAAGCACATAACTGAAGATCATCAACTGCCAACAACAGCATATACACATTGCGAATTCAAAATATACAAGGGGGGTTACATGCTAGAAGTACCTTGCGAATTCAAAATATACACATTTCACAGAGAGATAAACTGGTTACTTGAAATTAACAAAGTGCCCGGCAACATATCACCAAAGTTATATTTGAGTAGAAACTTCATAGAGAGTGCAAAATTGACATATCCACGTGCACAAAATCTGACAGCCACAGTTAGCATCAGGCATGGACTGAGTCCATTCTTTAGCCCAACAAATAAATGAGCACAAGAAAACCAACAAGTATGGCAACAATGGGAATAATAACAACCTTTTAGAAACTTATTCTTAAATGAACAATAACATAGAAACATTTTTTCCTAGAAAATTAGCATTCTACAATAGGCAAACAAGAAACAGGGGAATGAATAGAGATAACAAACAGCTCATAATTCAATTACAAGTACCATAACAGAAACAGAGGTATCCAGAAAACAAATATATGATAATTACTTTCAAAATAACACATTTAAAACTCTTCGAATACCCTATTCAAGTTACAAATGATTACACCACTGTTTTCGTGCTTTTGTTTCTCATAATTTCTCAATGTAAATAGGATAATGCATTGGACAAACAAACAAACAATAGAATGACACAAAACCATCATCGTGGTGTGCAATTTCTAGCTGACCTGGCAACTCTAACTAAATAAACAGGGAAAAAAGACCTCTTTTTAGATCCATTAGCAACTGATTCAAAGCTCAACATATGAATGACTACATTATTCACAATCGACCCGCGAGTACTAATAAAATTAGACAAAATGGAGGCGGTAATATAGAAGTAGTACCTCTTGGAAAAAGCGGAGTTAGAAGTGTTTAAGCCAAAATGTTTTGGGGGTGATTACAATAAATCTTAGCGAATTACCTTGAGACTGATTCAAACATAACGCAGAGCAGAAAGAGGAAATGCGGCCACTGACAATTGTGTCTTCTCTAAAGGTCCCCAGGAGTTCTAAAAGAAAAGTGTGAATTACATTGGGTTTTACTAGAGAATTTATTTCGCAGAAAAAGACAAAGCGCCATAGATTAATATGAAATATTTCTCGGTTTTGCATGTCAGATATTGATGAATGTGCGGATTCAAATGCCAATTTGTGAGAACACAATTGCATAAACAAGCTGGGAGTTACAATTGTTCCTGTCATGACAAGCCTTGCCATTCATGAAGCCCAGGAATGTCTATCACCAATTTTGGAGAAACGAAGTAAACCAAAAAGATTGGGAGTTACAATTGTTCCTGTCATGAAGGATACACCGGAGATGGTAAAGAGAATGGTCATCGGCTCATGGTTGTATTGCACTAAACTCAAACTCTGAGTTCCCATGGATCAAGTTTTCTGTTGGTAAGATTCTCATAAATTGAACCTGTTTCCGTGTTACTAGTTAATGCTTATTGTAGAAATTTACTTACTAATTACTTTACAAGTAACCTAATTGTGTAAATATTGTTCTTTATACCATCAATACATAGAACTTAATCTTTTAAGCAAGTATTATACATGATGGCGTTAGAGATATCACTAATTTTTAAACACGCCAAACAAATCATTGTAAATAAAATGAAAGGAAAAAAGGGTAACGACAGAAATAGAGACATGCAAACTGATTTCACAGCTTAAATAAGAAAATGTTTACTCCTTTCTATAGTTTTTCGGTTTTCATCTAAACCCAGCTTGAGTTTTCAGAACTAGACTAGTATTTCGTTTGTGAACTAGAACCAGCAAAAGGAAATATTTCAATTAAGACCCAAATCACATAAATTAACCTACAAAATACACACAAAAAACAAAATTAACCTAATGCAAAAGGAGAAAGAGGACTTACATCTCGGTTTCAACAAATAGTGTTATATCCTTCTTCAAATTACACCGATTCCACCAAATTTCTGCTACTTTCGGTTGAGAATCGAAAAACATCAAATGAAAGAAAGAGAAAAAAATCAGTAAAGGGAAAACACAAATTAACGGAGAAAATAAACTTAAAACCCACATGCATGAAGAAAGAGAGACAAAAAAGCAAAATCAAAGAATGGAGAAGAGCAAAATCAAATTAACGTACGTCCAATTGATAGATAGATCTGAAGTTATTACATGGATTTCGCTGAGAGATGCTGAAATGAAAGGGTTATTGTAGAGGACCGATTATTGTGAATGGCTAGATGGGAAAATTAAAGGGTTTCTGAGAACGGGGGAAAGAGGGGTAGCTGAAAATGAGAAGGGGGTTTGGGAAAAAGAAAAAAAAGGAATGGATTAAAAAACGAGGGGAACATTGGAGTTAGTAGGCCCTATTTTTTTAAGGGTTGTGGAGGTTAACGACCACTTTAAATTTAATATATTTGCGGGGTAAATAAACCCCCGCAATTTGATATAGATTGCGGAGGTCATAGTAACCCCACAATAAAACTTCCGCAAATTTAGTATTTTTTTGTAGTGTTTATATTTCAGACTTATTTTGTATTAAGCAAATAGTGTTGAGTTGTACTTAGTGGCTCATGACTAGTGACACCAGATTCGGGTTGTGTTGATGTATTTACGTACTTGTTTCCGCGTATTTCTTTTGATATCTTAAAATGAATGATTTGAGACTTAATCTGTTTAGAAAAAATGAATTTTTCAAAAGACCTTCGTATTGTTTGTGTTGTTTTAGCTGGCCTAGTACTGTTATAGGCACCATCATGACCAGGATGTTTGGGGTCTTGACAGAGTGTTGCGTAAGAGGATGAGATTTGCCGAGTATCAGGAGCAATCTCAAGGTAGTTATAGACCCCGGTACTTCGGACGACTACATATGCCTCCAACGCCTCAGTCACAGGGTTACAGGTTCGACCGACATGCTCGGTCAGGACCAGGTGAGAGCTCACGTGCATCGGGTTTCCAATGATAGTGAGGTTCAGGGCAAACAGGTTCGTTTCCTCCATGGTGTGATATTTGTAGTAGAGGACACCTAGGCCATTGTCGTGACCCACCTTCCAAAGGATGTGTTTCTCACATAGTTTCCTGCTATCCATTAGTCTTCTCCAAAAGTGTCATTGGGTGTAATTCTTCTTTTTGATAGCTGGATGTAATCTTTTACGATACTTTGCTTTCAAGAAGAGAGTTAGTAATGAAGGGCAAGTTCTAAAATTCCACCAAGAATTAGCAGGGAAAGAGATCCAAATGTCATGCAATGCTCTAAAGCCAACCTCTCCCCCATCTTTTGGAATACATAAATGTATACGGCCAAAATTGGGGAGTTTGATTCTGGGGCTACTATGTCGCCCCACGCCTAACCTCGAAGAAGCCCGAAGCAGAGCGTGAGGTGCGACCCCGAGGTGTGTCCCTCGAGGGAGCATATCGAAGGCTCACTGCGGTCGGCCTCGGAGCAGTACAATCGATGATCATCATGGAGAAGCGGGAAAATTCCCAAATATACGTGGTTAGAGCTGACCAGGTTTGCAAAGAATAGTACTAATCCGTACTAAGTCATTATACAGTTGTACCAGTAGAATTTCCTCGTTACTATTAGACATGTACTATGTTGGGATTCTCCCTCATATATAAAGGGGACCTTGTCATCTTGTAGGAGGATTCGGATTATACACCACATATTAAATACAATACAACATTCTCTACTCTTTGCCTAAATAATTGTTCTTCACACTTATTGTTTATTCTTTCATTGTTCATTCATTGTTCATTTATTGTTCTTTATTCATTACTCATTATTAACCGCAAAAGGCCATCTTTGAAGCCCTCATTATCATTAATTCTTCGTCAATTGCTCATTGCTATTAGCCCATCTAGACCTCGAGGCCCTGCTCCAGCCAGCTCGAGGCCCAGTCTTGTGGCCCTATTGATTTGCATTTCTTATCTTCTCTACTTACACCTAGCATCTACTGCCTAACAACTATAGTATTAAAGTAAATAACATATTTTTAGAATCACAAAATCAAATAATAATTATAATTACCATTTTCAAAGTAAACAATAAATTCTGCTAAAAGGACCAATGGTAATTAACCAGATGTCCATTATTTTTTGTCACCACCGCATAGCCATCGGCAACAACTACTATTTCACAACTATCATTGCCAAATATCCTTCGTACAATCAACGACCAAGCATCACTTTACAACTATCATCGAACTACCATTAGTGTCGCATGTCACTGCCTCTAGCCTTTAGAGTGTGGTCCATCAAAGAAGCGATTTATACAATACCATGTAAATTAATATTTTTGTAATATATTGTGGATATAATATTGTTTATGTATTTGAATTCTATAATTAGTTTTACATAAGGTTATAAAAGATTATTCACACTCGAATGAGGAGAAAACAGACAATCTTAAATGTTCAGTGTTTAAATCCAAAGACAAAATCTTAATTATCAAATATATTTAGATTCAAGAAGTTTAATTTTAATAAAAACAAAGGAGGTATGAGCCAAAAAAATTTAAAAAGCAAAATTCTTTCTTTCTTCCCCACTTCTCCACCAATTAAACAGCCATGTAACTCTTTCCCTTATATTCGTTCTCTTTTTCTCCTTTCTTCCCTTTTTCTTTGCCTAGCCTCCAAACACAATATCCTGTGGCGCAAGCTGACAATGACTATAAATGTGATGGTAGTAACGAATTTAATAATTTTGGCACACAGTTACGGCTGCATACTCAGAGTCGCCCTAGAGCAATAATCACTGGTGAGCCGAATGCACTTGACACCAACCAATTTTGAATTTTTTAATAGGGATATTACATGATGTTGATAGTACCAGTACCAACTCATGGGCGTTGAATTTAATATTCAGTAGTGACAAAATTAGCTGGATTTCTACTTTTGGGATGCCCAGTTTGAAAATTGAAATTTCCCTCGAGTCAAGAGAGGAGAGTTTCATGCTTTGTATGGTAATTAATGGAGTCTATCTAACAGATGCATTCAGAACTGAAAGATCCTCGACAGAAAGTACAAGTAACACGACAAAATTCCAAAGTCAAAATTTGAAAACAATTTGAATCAAACTCTAGATTCGAAATAGATCAAAAAGAGTCAAGATTTACTTCTACATTGGTTCATTCTCATCTGCTGCTGCTCTTCATTAGGCATTACAACTCATGAAACTCAGAATCAGAAAACTAGACTTAAATGGGTCAATTAATTAGTAAGAATACAAGGGGTTTCCACTTGGTGCTACTGCTACTATTACTAGGACTTAGGATTAGAGTAGTAATTTTCTTAAGCATAAACAGATCCACAGGAAAGAGCCATCAATAGTATCGCCGCTTGTTCTTCCTCTCTTAATTTGCCTCCCAATGTCATCAATTTCATCTTCAATGACTGTCCAATTTTTTCTCTACTGTTTTTTTCTCCACTGATTTTCCTCTTCTTCTTGCCTTTATCACTTCTTTCTTTGTCCAGACCTAAAAGCTGCCTCCTCTTCTTGTTGTATTTGATCCCACATGCGTTACATAACGACTAAGATACAAGTACAATTAAAAAAGTTAGAACTTTGATAAGGTAAGCAAACACAAGAAAACAAATTGGGTCGATAAGATTTTGAACTAGGAATTTTTACCTTAGGACCTGCTGGACCACTTCTCCAAAGAGGCGTTCTTGTGGTATGACAATCACAGCAAGTTTTCATTTCCTCTACTTGTGATCCCTAAAAAATCAAAGAAAACATGAGATCAGCAATCAGAATCAGAAATGAAAAGCCAAAGGAGATTAATTGATATTCACTTGATTTACCTTTACTTCCGTCAGATCCATTCTCATGGGAAAAAATTTGTCCTAAATGGCTTAACAAATGCTACTGGAAATACCGATCAAGATCAAGTAAGTAAAAAGGGATCTGGAAGAGAAAGGAACAAGTTTAAAGGAGGCTACGTAAGATAAAAAAGATAGAGATTGAAAGGCGGGAGAAAGATTGGTACAAGAGTGAAAAATTTGTACCGTTAATGTGGAGTTTAGTGAGCTAAGAGAGAGACGATAGAAACTCTAGGTTGGAATGGCTAAAAATATAAGGGCAGGGGGGTTGTAAAGGACTAAAGGGGTAGGGAAGCTAAAACGGCGATATCTGGTGGACTGGAGACTAGTCAGCAGGACACGACATCATAGTTGACTCTAGATTCGAGTTTTGCAATTACACTATTACCTCTCTGGTTCCAATAGTTTCCTCTTCACAAATCTCAGCCGTAGAATTATTATTGATCCAACGTTCAGTCATTCGAACCTATGTTGTCTGCTAGTGCTAACGAGGGATGTGGTGGAAATACACACCAGTAGTGATGCCAACTTTCTTTTGTTATTCAAGAAGTGTGGGTAAGATGACAAAAGGCAAAACCATGGGCATGCCACAAGGTTGCTCTTAATTTGATAGTTTGGAGTAGTTCCTAAAATTTACGTTAAAGTGTATATCTCTTTTGTTCCTAAAGAATTATATCAACGGCCCACATGTAAAGCCAAAATATACCAGTAGCTACATCAAATGAAAGTGGATAGCCTGACCATCACTTCAATTATAAGATCAATAAATGGAGCTTCATTTGATAATTCTGGAAAAGGAGACATAGGAGGTGTTTTCCGAAACCATAAAAGTAACAGGATATTAGGATACAGCAAAGCATATTCGTTTCACGACTACTATATATGTTTGCAGAGTTAACACGGATTGCAGTTCATATCCCTTAGTCATTAAATTTGACTTAAAGGAGGTAATCAATATGCTACTCATGAATGGTAACGAATGCTATTCTCATCTAACTGATGGATGCAGGTCAATGATTATATAATTGCTTACCCGTAAAACGGAGTTGAATTTGAAACGAGGTTTATAAACAAGCGAATCGATTTGATCCTAAAATGACAAATAAATTAAATAAAATGCAAGACTTAGCCTTGAAATCGAGATAAGACAGCAAATAACTTGGTTCCGGGAGCAAAGCTTCCGAATGCAGTAATAAGAATATCAATAGATAAGAAATAAAGTGTTATTGAGCTTTTCAATAATATGTAGCATACGTTTGTCACAAAATTCATCTCTTACCATGGATGTTGAAACCACTATTTATAGATGCACCTAGGGAACTAGGATCAAGCCCTTTTTAAATGACAATTATGGGGGCCATTGATGAATGTGTAACGGCAGGCTATGAATGCTGAAATTCTCTATAACGGATTGTGTATTTAATACTGAAGAATATCCTTCATTGAATGTCATCGGGTGGCAAAAATTTGTTTGTCTTTATTAGGAACATTCTCTTCAGGGTCTTCCCGGTGCCAACCAAAGTTCTTGTCCCCGGTCTTGATTTCTACCTGCCTCGCTTTCTATCTGTCTTCGATTCTATATGTTGCTATATTATTTGAATATTTAATGCGAACTAATTTTAACCTATACATATAGCCCCCTACTTTCCGGTGGCATATGTTTGTGTCATCGGGAAGTCGGTGAAGATACCTTTCTTAACGTAAAATTTTCTGATCCCTTCTGAAAAGTTTCTGACGCTTGATCAGACTTACGTCTCTCCGTAATTAATGCCCCGAACACGCATTACTCCGCGATTTAACAATACTTTTGCCGGTTCTCGAGGTAATTATGGCCACGATTTTAGCCGCCTATTCCTTTACTTACACATCTCATATTCTTCTTTTACACTTTACAAAATTTTAAAGTCTCTCAACTCTCTACACTCAACCCTTTCTTGCTTTCACTCTTCTTTTATCTTCTTTTCATACTTTGTACTTGTGCTGCTTGGCACGATTGTTATATAAAAGTTCTTTTCGTTCAAGCATTGCTCAAAGTTTACTTTTTTGCGTCGAATTATGCAAGGCTTCAAGTGCATTTTTTCCCGATAGCTTTTGGATTCCGGGCATAAACTCTTCGGGAACCAACCCTTTACTGTGAGAGATTCATAAGAGAAGGCTCTTTTATGTTTACGGTGCTCTTGAAAAGGACGTCTCATGTTCATTCCGGCACTAGCATTTGAAGTATTTGATTAACTTTCAAATGACAAAATTAATTCATTGTTTGGACAAGAAACAAGATAAAAATAAAAGAACTTTATTTTATTCCTCCCATTTTCAAAATACATAAGCATTCATTGTGCTGAAAAGAAATTTTCATTACTTGTGGCTAACTTGTACAACTTATTTCTATGGAGCTGGCCGAGCAGTCCCCGGTCCGGATGATACATCTTTGTTCCTAGTTTTTGGTAGTCCCGATTTATGTGGCAGTAAGGTTGTCGTATTCTCATATCA